TAGCCAGCAAGACTAGGATAAACAACCCTCCCGCACGGAAAAGCCAATGCACACTTTTAGCGCTTGCCCTTCTTGCGGGGAGCAACAACCTTGAATGCAGAGCTGGCAGCCTCTTCCTCACGCTGAGCAGCAGCCGCAACGGTAGCAGCAGAGCCCTTCTTGGCGACCTCACTCCAGCCACCACCGTTCTTCTGCTCACCGAAAGCACTGGGAGAGACAGGGTCAACAATGCCCTTATCGGCAAGCTTGCGACGGCGGATGAATTCCTCCGAGAAGCGACGGCCATCCAGAGTCTGGGAGTTGGCGTAGACGGAGTCGGAGATGATCTCAGCCTCGGCGGGCAGGAAGAGCAATTGCTGGACGAAGTCGTCGACTAGTAATGATATGTTAGTATGGAGAACAGTGTGGATTGAATAAAGAGAAAGAAACTCACCATTGATGCTGCTGTTCAACCCCTTGCTCAAAGCCAGAGTAGCCCACTTGGTGAACTCCTCCATGGCCTGGTTGGGGTTGGACTGAGGGGTGCTGCCGCTTGTCACAGCACGGGTAGTGGTCACAGGGCGGGGCTTAGCGATAAGAGGCGAAATTGGGGCAGTTCCGCTGGTTGTGCGGGGCCCGAGGGGTGGCGCAGTGGGAACAACACCCTTAACCTTGCCACTTGCACCGACGGTGGTCCAGGCACTGGAGCCCTGGCCAGCAGCGGCGACGGGAGCAGGGCCCTTGCTAGCAAGATCGGCATAACGCTTTCCAACAGAAGAAGGAACGGGAGGGCTGGGGGTCGCAGCCACGGCGGCGGCGGCAGCAGCAGCCGCGCGGTTCTTCCGGGCCTCCTCCTCCTTCTGGATCTGAGCCAGAGTCTTCTTAGCGGTGGTGGCGGTGGGTGCGGGCTGGGTCTTGGTGGCCCAAGGGGAGCTGGCCGAGGCAGGCGTGGCCGGAGATCCAGCGCTAGCCCAGTTGGCCGATGAGGGAAGGCCAGGAGCTGCCTGTGCCTGCGCTTGGCTGAGACGCTCTTGCTCCGCAAGGAATTGGGCACGGCGTGCCGCAGCGGCGACTTCCTCGCGTTGGGCGGCAGTACGAGCCTCGGCTTCCTGGATCTCCTTCAGAGAAGGACCCTTGGGCAAGTCATTTGCCTCCTTGGCCCATGGTGCGACAGAGGTAGGCGCAGCATCAACGGGAGTCTGGGTTTGGGAGCGGGACCCAGTGGCCAGAGACTCGGCAACGTTCTGGCGGTTACGCTGGGCGGTAGGTGCAGGGAGAGGCGACGCGGAGGGTGGGGGAGGGAAAGGCTGGGGCATGGCGTGGTCAACCTTGTTTCCCCAGACCGATTCAGAAGGGCCGTGGCTTTGGTCATGTTCCTGCTGCTGGCGCTGAGCGGTAGCAGCCTTGTGGACTTGCTGGGAAAGAGTAAGAGGCTCAGCACCGGTGACAGAGTCGGTCAACTGCTGAGCTGCCTCCTCCATCTCGGCTGCAACCTCTGCCTCGAGTTGCTGAGATGCAGCGGCAGGGTGGGTAGGCAGGCCTTCGGCGGTGCGCATTCCCATCTCGCCTTCCTGGGCCCGAAGGGCATGGAACTGGCGAAGACGCTCCTCGCGAGCGTGCTGATCAAATGGATCATCTTCATGGGCCTTGTCAAAGTCTTCCTGCTCTTGCTGAAGCTGAGCACGATCCTGAAGCATTTGAGTAACCTGCTGCGACTGCAAGAAGTTATCCGGCTGGCGGCCAGCGAACGAACCAGCACTGCCAAAGGCAAATGGATCCTGGCGGCCGACGTTCAGGCGATCAAGTAGAGCGGGGAGTTGATCCTGGCTACCGAAATCCGTTCCTAGCATTCCGGGTCCCACGTTCAAGCCGCCCTGTCTCGGTGCAACACCGTCAAAGAATCCGGGGACGCCTTGAGACTGCTGCTGCAGGGGGGCCTGGATCGGGGATGGCTGGTAGCCAACCGGTGAAGTGATGCTTGAGAAGCTAGGCTGGCTTTGAAGGCTGTGTGCACTAGACTGGTGCTGCAGCGGAGGGTTCATGGAGGATGAGGGAGCACCAGGAGGAGCCATCTGCTTCATAATTGCCTGCTGCTGAGCCAAGTGCTCCTTCTGTCGAGCCATCAGGTACTGTTCTTCCTGCTTGCGTCTTTCAAGCGCATTTTGCTGCTCGGCTGTCAAGGTAGTGCCGAAGCTTGGGAAACTACCCGGGAAGGGAGGCTGAGCAGACCCAGCAGTCGTGTTAGTCCACTGAGCAACGGTCGGTTCTGGGCCATGAGGAAGGCCGATCTGGGGCACAAGGAAGGGTTCGCGTGAGTTCCCAATGCGTCTCACTAGCTGGGCCAACGGCTCAAATTCGGTGTCCTCGAGCTTCTTGATTTGCAAGTCTGGGCTGAAGAAGCCCGCCTTGAACCAATCATGCATCTCAAGCCCTGTCCACGGGCCCTGGATATTGCCTTGCGGATCCCGGTAGATCCAGCGCATCCTATCCGGCATGACCATGGTACGCTGCTGAGAAGCAGGGATGCCTGCGCCAGGAGTTTGACTGGAAGGAATGTCATGACCAGCCAGGTTTGGAATAGACCCAACGGCCGAGACAGGTGTTTGCGAAGCAGGCGTTGAACCAGGGTGGCTTGCCTGACCCGCCTTGTCGCCTTGCGAGGGGTCAAGTCCATCTAGGCCCACGGAGTCGGGCCTTCCTTGCTCATCCTGCATGGAAGAAAAGAGGGCACCGAGTTTGCTCGATCGGCCGATGCTTCCAGTGCCAGTCATACCGGTGTGGGGGCTGAATAAACCGCCTCCGCCGAGGGTTGACAAGCTAGGAGACTGAAGATCGCCCATAGAACCAAAGATGGGGTCACCGAAACCACCAACAAATGCAGAACGTTCACGAGTGGGGGTTCCGACGGCAGCACCAGATGACCAAGTGGAAGGTCCACCAAGGGAAGACAGACCGCCGAGACCACCGAGACCAGAGAAAGTGCGGTTGGCATTGACGCTGGAGTTCTGACTGCGGTCCACAGTGGGGAGGTCGATCCCTGAGCCAACCCGTCTCATCGAGCCGAATGGGTTGGAGGGATCCCGAAGTCCGCTGATTCCGGGATGCTGGGCGGGCTGGATATCCGATCCGTCAGTGTCGACATCTTCGGGTTCCGCACGTTCGCCATGACGGTCACCATGCGGGCTCTGGTAAGGATTAGTGTTGGTTGGACTATTTGGCTCGTGGCCCTGGAGCAGGCTGGGAGTTGGGTTCCGTGAGTTCTCCTGACTTTGCATCAACTCCCGGAATCCAGGAATGCTCGAGGTCATGCCGAATGCGCCAAACCCAAGATCAGATTGAGCAGGACCTTCAACATCCTGAGACCCGCCAAGAGCAGCGCTGCCACTGCGAGGCTCGTCAAACGGATTAGTTTCGCTTCGGTTGACACGAGTCTTGACGGTATCTCCCCAGGGCGACTGCGAACGCCCATCACTGTCGTTTTCAGCAAGACGTTCAAGGTTGCCCATGGGCTTTTCCTTAGCGGAGCCGGCAATATCCTCGGAGCTATCCTTGGACAGCAAGCCCTTGAATCTGCTCTCTCCGCGGAGACTTCCGTAACCCGGTTTCTTTTCCGTCGTAGGAGTACCAGAGGCGGAGCCGGAACCAAGAGAGAAAGCCCCAAAGGCACCCATCGGGGAGAAATTGGCATTATGCGAGGCCGAACCCCAGGGGGAGTTCGGTCCACTAACGCCCGTGTTGATGGGATTGGTAGAGCTGCGTTTCAGGGATCCAAAGGGAGAGGCAGGATCCTCCCTGCTATCCTTGGCCTTCTCCTCCACCTTGGGGTTGGGTTCTCGGAAATCAGTTTTGCGACGCAACAGGGCAGGTGGAGGAGTAGCAGTATTAGCCTCATCGCGGAAAAATCGGGAGTTAGAACCGGTAGGAGACATGGGGTTGCCAATCGATTCTCCCGTTTCCCGGCGTCGGGGACCCGGGCGACCGGCGGTAGGGGAGGAGGTGGTGTAGTTATTGATATGGCCCTGAGGATAGGAGATCGAAGACTTGCGACCTCCAGTTCCCGGGATGACGTTTTCCTTCGCAGCGTTTGTGGGGGGTGGCTTCAGAGGGGAGTTGACTGAAGCGGCGAACATCTATTAAGCTGTTTTTTAGTAAGAGCACTCAACTCAGACCCAAAAGCACACAACACGAACCTCTCTCTCGTCCTCCGTCATACCCGTGATTCCGAGGGGTTCGACCTGGCCGCCATGGTCCCAGCAAACCTCGGGCCCCGCAGAGTTGTTCTTGTGGTCGTCCCGCTTCCCCCATGCTCCATTAACGGGAGCTGACACAGTGTGGGGGTCCCAGTCGGCCACGAAGTATTCTTCCACGTTCTTACTCAAGGTACCCTCCTCCCGCTGCGATTTATACAGCTCTAGAAGTTGATCCTTGGAGTACCGGGCATCCCCATTCCGTGCAATGCTAGAAGAATTTGAGCTCAGGTGTGGAGGGATGTACGCGCCGCCGGCCGTGAGTGTCGAAGCAGATGCAGGCTGGCTACTATCCCGGTGGTGAGAAGGGGTGGTAGCAACAGAAGGACGGCGGAAGGTCTGCGTAGCTCCGTTCATGCGGTTTCGAGACCTGGTGGGCATTCAAGGTTAGCATCGGATATCTCGAGCTCAAAACATTGACGGCCAGAGCAGCATGGAACGATATTGGACCGAGTCTGCTCAATAACAGCTAATGGAAGGGTTTTGGGGGAAGGTGAAACGGTGTCTGCATACCATTCTCCGCTAGTCGAACCGTCCCCCCTCCGACTGGGGTCCTGGGTGTTGCCAGCAGCGGCCGAAGCGAAACTCGATGGAAGTGGTGTAGGCATTGTGGTAAAGAGGCTTTTATGGTCGGATGTTGATCCCCCACGTAAGAACCGATTCTGAGATAGTGATCGCGAAACCTGTGGCGGGCTTGCAAGAGAATGTGTGATGCGAACGGATGAGTTGCAAGACACGAGATTGGAAAATTGGTGTAGAGTTGGAGGATGACAGCTAGGAGCTAGTCAATCGAAGAAGCGGAGAGCTGTAAGAGAGGTAATGCAGATATGCGAGCGCCAGACTAACAAGGTCGAGAAAGAGAGAGATCGAGTTTCGATTTCGCTTGGGAAGTTTCCTGGAGCAAAAATGATTAAGCGGTGGCCGTGGCAATACATGTACCTTGTGGTAAATACCAGGTATGGGTTTACTAGTAATCGCGTGATTTGCCGTTTAAAAAGTGATGAGCGTTGTGTATTGGTGAAACCACAATTACATACCGCCAAGAAATAGGTATCTGATACACGCACAACACTGTGTCCCCATACTCTGCCCAATGTACCTTGTACCTTGTTTTGCACCATTGGGCTCAATCCTGTGCAGCAAAGAAAAAGAGACATTGTATCAAAGGAGGATAGTAATGTCTCTCAATAATCAAAATGCATTTTGAGCCTGATTTTTACTTTTTCCCTACTTCCAAAGGATTATAGATAGCAAGCACATATGCAGTTAGGTGGCTTGACGCAAACAGAGAGATGTGGAAATAACAGAAGAGACGTGTATGCCACACAATAACCACGCTCCTCTTTTGATTGGGAGTTTTGCCTTCCAAACAGTTGACAGTTACATCTGTAGGGATTTAGTCCTTTGTCTAAAAGAATACAAAGGAGAGCATCTAGACGTGCCACAAATGCAATAGAGGGGGGTTGACTGCATCAAATATCATCCCTTTCTCCCCAACCTCTGTAATGCTGGGCAAACATGCTCTGTCTTAAAAGGTTTCAATGGTCTTATTTTATGTCTTTAGATTCGGGCTATAATCCAGTTGGATTAAGAATTCTATTATCTGTTGTGCCTGTCAATAGGGCTAGATTATTGTCTTGTTCTTTGTATATATCTACTACCCCTGTCTGTCCTTTGATGCTTCATTCTACACAAGACAATGCTTTCTGGGATTTGCTCGCTTTTGCTCGCTCTAGGAGTAACACAGAGACACAAAATAATAAAATGAATGTTTTAGCCCAAATGGATATGACGGGCTTAGTCTCGGGACTTTCTTAGAGCTTCACAGATGTTATCAAGACTCTATAAAATGGACATCCCCCTCTCCGGCAATTCCCTCTTCGCAGTTCTTTCGTTTCAAGACAATCCAATCAGGTTTATATGAACCATAAGCTTTCTTGTACAACAAACATCATTTTCTCTCTCGTGTCTCCCGATATCCAACAGCTCATCGACTTTTGATCAAAGAGGATGGCACAGTCCAGCTTCACTGGTCAATACAAACCCGGCAAGACAGAATATGGCTGGTACTTCGCTGGCGAGCCAATGGAAAAGAGACACTCTCGAAACGGGCGAATTAGGCTAGTTCGGTACGGACCTGAGATGGATCTTTGTGTCCACAGTCGATGCCCGTCACCATCTCCCATTCCAGAAACGGCACCTTGCTTCTGCGGCAATAGATGCGAGGTTCACCCAAACGGGACACGCTGCCAATCTCCAGGCAACGCTGACTACTCTGGTTATGAGGCAGTCACAAGGTACTGCCGAAGATGTCATGGAATTCTACGCGAGCCTGAATCCCCTCTACAGGTCGAGAAAACAACCTGCACTTACAACAATCGGTGTGAATGTCCATGTCACACGTATGAAAAACGCCCGATCACGCCAAACACCAGTGAATATTCTAGTTCTGAATCAACCACAAAACGCTATGATAGCCGTCAATCAACAAGACGCGAGCGCCGTTCCAACGACACACGTCCCACCACGCCAAACAGCAGTGATATCTCAGACTACGAGCCAACCAGAAGACGCCGCACAGGCCAGCGCACGACAAAGCGCGAACCAGAGCGCCATCTACAGGTGGAGATATGCCAATGTGAGGCCCACGCACCTCTTCCTAACCCACCCGCCATGTTAGGCCAGAGATACAACTCCGCTCGAGCATCGTTCACGACAGCACCACGCCCCGGTCCGGTAGTCCAACTCCACTACTGCCGCAAGGCGGAATATTGCGAAAGCCACCCGGAACTCTGCCGAGCTTCAATGCCTGTGCCTTCGCCGGTGCCGAGATCGAATCAAACTCCGACTCGCTCTCCCCGGTCGAGTGAAAAGACCCATCACAGCCCGCGGGCCAGACCGGGCCAGAAATGCACTTGCAGGGGGTCTGCTTCTACCCGCAAGCAGGTGCCTCCTCCAAAGCCAGTGTCTTCATTCAAGTCTACATCTCCCAGGCCTGATTTCCCACATTGTATCTGTTTATTCATGGATGGGTATCACGTGGATGACTCCGGATATTATACTCCTTATGACGATGACACCGCTACCGAGACCTCCACTCAGGCTATGCCAGGGGATGTGGATGAGACACGTTGTGTTTTTCATCACCGCTGTCGCCCGAGGTTTGAGCGTGGAATTGGCTGGGTGTGTGGGAGGAAGTGAGTATACTGTGCCTTTGTTGATTGGAGGTTGCATTTGATTTAAATAGAAGGACTATTCGTGCTGTTCTCTCTTGCTTGTTTCTCTTTTACTGGTCTGTAGCTTCTTCGAGTTGGGATGCCAATCCTAGATATGGAGAGGTATGCTGGAGTGGTTGTCGTCTCCCTGTGAGAGGCTCAGAAATGCTCTCTGCTTTTCTTTTTCCTATGTCTCATTTACGGCCTTTGGTGTGTATTGAGACGCTCGTCAAGTTCTAGCTTAACGAACAATTTCATATGGTATGATAAAGGCTTCAAATCTGATATTTTATTTGGCATTATTGTTGTCTCTACTTTATGGTTGAGATCCAATCCCACGGAGTTACGTTGTCAATAACTTCATAGATCATGGTATGAATTTTATTGTTGCATACAGAACAATTATGGTATGTAGACATCACATCCTCGAGTACGAGAGTGTTTACATGTCAATTCCAACGTCTCCTTTGCATTTTCCATGTACTCTCGTATCACTCTCATATCCCTACCACCTCGTTTCCAGTCTTCAAAAAAAAATCCTTAGTTGTAATTTGGAAGAACAAAATACAACTCGAAAACTCTCCTCGGAACGCTTCACGGACAGAGACATAAGAGGCAGTTGTCAAGATGCTCACTTAGCATCCTCGTCATTGTTGCTACCTTCGGCTTCGTCGGTTTCTTCAGCTCCCTTCGTGCCCTCCATAGTAGTATCGACAGGAGCAGCAGTAGCAGTGGCGGTGGTGGTCTCGTTTCCGGTTGCCCTCTTCTCGAAGGCGTCGAGTTTGGCCTTCAGTCGGAACCAACGCATGCGAGCAGCGCCAACACTAAGGTTAAGCTCTTTGGCTAGAACTGGGATATCAATCTGTACGAAATGCGAATTCGGTACATGAATCAATCAATCAAGCTGAGGGCGGAATGGTCTTACTTCTTTGTGGTTCAGCTTCAAGATCTTCCAGAGCAGCATTACCTCTTCATCCTTGAAGTTGTTTTTGGCGGCTGGCCGACTGCGATTGGCAGGGCGAGACTTGGTCGTAGCCTTTTCCAGAGCCATGGTTGATAGGAAGGATAGAAGTTGGTGGAAGTTGATAGAGAGGGTTGATGGGATGATTTAAGTTGATTAGGGTTGAGTAGTCAACAGGATGAGAGTTGAAAGAGGAAGAAGATCGAAGTGAATGTTTGTGTTTTTATAGCAGTTGCCGAGTCGATGCGTCTGATGCGCTGAGTCGTCTGTGGTATGCTAAGCTTTGATAAGGCATAGACTATGAGTCGCTAGGATGGAAGGCACGGCTAATCTATAAGTTACTATCCTATAGTATAATATCCCTGTCTATGCAATAATCAGTGAGGTATACTCATATTATATCATGCATAGTGATGTTCAACATGTCTAGATCTTCGCCTTGCAGGTCAGGCCTTCATCTTAGCTTGTCTCGTTTATATTGGATCCAATGTCATTGTTTCTGGTACTGCAAAAGGCTAGACATCAAAGTAACAGGAGACGTTACTTGATGTGCATCGTGTTTTCTTGAATATGCTCGGTAGCGCGTTACTTTGCTTTTCGAAGCTAGGATATATATTACTGTGATGTTAGGCAAACATGCTACATATATGTATGAACCTTGGTGTTTTTCATTACATTTTTGTTACATTTTGTTTCAATTTAAGCTTTGCATTCTGAGATATATCAGGGCATAAAGACAATTGTTTCCAATTTCCACCGATTGTTCAACGTGTATGTAGTAGTCTCGGACAGTCGGCCCCAGGCAGATAATCAACAAATCCAGCAACCTCGGCTATCGATAAGCATTTAAGCATCCCCGCACGAACGCCCTGACTTCCAAGGTTTCAAGGTTTCAAGATTAATTTATTTTTTTGATACATATCTTCATCTAGCACATCCAGAAAATGTCTAAAGCAATTTACATATCCCCAATCGACGGCAAGCCGGGCAAGCCAGGCCAAGTCTACTACCCGCTCTCCCTCCGCACCCTGCCCAAGCCTTCCCCGCAAGGGGGTGAGCTATTGGTGAAATTGACTGCCGCAGCCCTCAACCACCGCGACGTCTTCCTCCGCCAACACCTCTACCCCGGTCTGAGCTTCGATGTGCCCCTGCTTGCAGACGGAGTTGGTACCGTCGTCAGCGCTGGCCCGAACGTCCCCAACCCGGAAAAATGGCAGGGCAAGCGAGTGATCTTGAGCCCCAGTGTTGGCTGGAAGGATTCACCTGACGGGCCGGAGGATGCTGCGGGAAACCGAATTATGGGAGGCACCACGGTTTACGATAAGGGGACATTGCAGGAATATATTACCATCGAGTACTCGGAGGTCGAGGAGGCCCCGGAGCATCTCTCTGATGCCGAGGCTGCAGCTCTGCCCCTGACGGGCTTGACGGGCTGGAGGGCTCTGATTACCAAGGCTGGGGAGAGAAACTCTGGGGATGGTGCTGCTGTCTTGATTACTGGCATTGGTGGCGGTGTGGCTCTGATGGTGCTGCGGTTTGCTGTTGCCAGAGGTGCGCATGTCTTTGTGACGAGTTCGAGCCAGGAGAAGATTCAGAAGGCCATTGAGCTAGGTGCGACCGGTGGTATTAGTTATAAGGAAGATGGGTGGGAAAAGAAGCTGTTGGGTATGCTCCCAGCTGGGAAGAAGAATTTCGATGCCGTCATTGATGGTGCTGGTGGTGATTCTATTGAGAAATCTGTCAAGTTGCTCAAGGTGAGTGCCACGGGACATTCATTCAATTACCGATGAAAGTACTCACATTCACAGGCTGGCGGTGTTCTCTCTATCTATGGAATGACTGTGTCTCCTAAAATGACTTTTACGATGCCTGCTGTCCTCAAGAACATTGACGTCCGCGGTTCCACGATGGGCTCTCGCAAGGAGTTCAAGGAGATGATTGAGTTCGTCAATGCGAAGAAGATCCGCCCTGTGGTGTCGCGAGTTCTGCAGACTGGGCTAGATGACTTGGCCGCAATCGACAAGCTGTTCGAAGACATGAAAAATGGCACACAGTTCGGCAAACTGGTGATCGAGTTTGGCAAGTCTACGGGCAGTAAGCTGTGAACATATCCTTGCTACGATTCCCATGAAGTCATGCCTTTATAGCTGTCTATACACTTATGATACATATCAATTGAGATATTTTGCAGCAACTACGAGTGTTCTTCGTACCTTCCTCCTGGACCGCCTCACTTGACGCACCACCACATCACCACATCGCAATGTATTTACATCTTCAGCATATCATCGCCACTTTTATCTCTCATCCTCTCTTATTAGAATCCAATCGAGTAACCCAATCTCGAGCTCGCTCATTGTATCACAAATCCTTTCATTCATTTCTGATCTCACCCCCAACATGAACCCCCAAAGGGACCGCATACCCATCCGACGAGTCTCTCGCTCCGTTTCTCGCGGAAATGGTCCTATGCCTCATGTGTCGGACTCCCGGCGTTTGCTAGATGACTCGTGGGACGAAGGTATTTTCCAGGTATTGCCGTATCGGGGAAAAAAATCGACCGTTTGAAATTCCCTATTGATACTAACAGTCAATACAGTCCTTCGACGCCACTCACTATGCTCTTCAAACCCTCAACAAGCATATCGAACGAAGACTCGCAAAGCTGCAAGCCAATACAGTCCGACTGAAGCGTGAACTGTGGCTGCTCCAGCGACACATCAAAGAATTCCGCCATCCTCTTTTCGAGAACTGGGAAGCCGACTTGCTCACCCGTCTGATCGAGGTTGCACATGCCCATCAGCATAAGAAGCTACCAGGCGGCGTCGTGATCGGAGAGTCTTCATTTGCTGAGCGAGAAAATATCAACCATGCATACAGCATCGCGGCGAAGGGAATCCGCATGCCGACTCTTCGTAAGCTTGGTCTTTCGGAGAAGTATCATCAGGCTCTCCAGCGATACTCCGAGGTGAGTTATTGCCGGGTTGATTTAGCGTACCTGGGTCCCACACTAACATGGATCAGGTCGCTCCTTACCGAAGCCCGAATCCTTTCCAGACCGAATTTGCATTCGCCAAATGGCTAATTGAAGTGCGGGACGATAGACCAGAACTCTATGGATTTTGGTCGAAACTTTTTCCCGTCTGTTACGACCGTACCGTCCAAGAGAGCGCCTCCATCTTCTAGAGAATTCCCGCGAATCACCTCGTCATCCCTCACTTTTCATCTCCTTCTATTCCTGGCAAAGCATCCAAAAAGAGGTTGTTCAGTGGATACAATAGCGCTTTGAAGATCTTCTATTTCTAGAAGTTTGTGGGTCGGTGTTCCGACCTGGTTCTGCCCCGTGCGGTTGTGATCAATTATGTCTCATCTCAGCTCTCCACATAAAGCCAAGTCTATTCTTATCGAATACAGCCCTGGAGTGCCTGCCTTTTTGGGTCATATACTGCATGGTATGGCTTTAAAAAAATAACCCTAATCGTCTAGTACAACTAGGATGATGTCTTAGCCTTCTTCAGCGATCGACATCGCACATACCTCTACGGAGTACAGACTACCACCGTTGCATCAAATCCTAGACTATGGACCACGTAACCACAGCTAGTATTCACGGAACACTCTAATCCACCAACAAAAAACTGTCTAAATATCAAACGCGCTAAACCCTCTGGTGCGGCAGATAATTGGTCCTGTCATTCTGTTCGAATAGGTGAACGAACCAATAATCCAACGAACAATAAACAATGAACAATGCACAATAAGCAATAAGCAATCTGCAACGAACTCCCACGTCACGATTCCCCAAACCCTATTCCAGCAATCATCCTACTCCATGACGCAGTGTCAAAGTCGGTTGTTGCATAGTTCGGAGTACTCCGTACTCTGAAGGTGTACCATAATGTTCCCGTTCGCTAATAATAGCTCCTTTTTGGTTCTTTACGGTGTACACTATATTAAGCTCGATGCTAAATTCTGAGTGCGAACTAAAAAGTGAGACAGCCCTAAAGCGGTATGTACAAGATGCTTGCTGAACAATTTGGGTTGGCGCGAAGCTAGCGCAACGCTCTTAGATGGCAGCTTGATCAACCTCGTGGATCACTTTTCAGGGTCTACCAGCTTCCCCCGACTCACCCCGACTCGGATATGTTCCGAATGGTCTTGTGATTTTGGGGGGTTTTTTTTAGGGGGGGGCCTTCTTTTTCTTCTTTGGTTTTAGGGTAGTTTTCAAGTTCCGCTTAGTCTTGTACATTTTACCGATGTTCTTCCGGTCGCGGCTTTGCACCATGCCATTTACTCTGTCGGTTGCCTTGTTTTCCATTCTTTCCGTGGAGTAAATCTGTTTATTTTGAGAATTGGATGCCAAGTGCAGTGGATTGCTGTTATTTTCTGTTATTTTCTGTTATTTTCTTCTTGTTTCCCCCCTTTTGCGCCTTTTTTTTTGATCTAATCCAGTGGATGTAGGTGGGGCGATGTAGTAAAGAAAATAGGTCTTTACCTGTGTGCCTAGGTATATCTATATAACCAAAATAAAGGTATTATGTACTCCGTAGTATATTGTACATAATGTACCATAGAATCTAAAGGCTGGTACTCACTAATATAAATTAACCTTAACAAAGGTTAATGGTTAATGGTTCATGGGCGTTAGAAAACCGATAAAAGTTGCTGCCTAGCTTGGCATTGACGGGACAAAATATGTACATAAAACACCAACAAAAACCACGTTTTCTTAAGTGGAGACAAGCGCATGGAAAAAAAAAGTGGAAAGCAATGGATAAACCCATAGACCGTGCACTTTACTCAAGTCAGAACTCTGTCCCGTCTGATTTAGCGAAGTCAACATGGCTAGGATGTGGTAGCGTGCGACGATTGACCAAAGAGAAGTGGTTGACTGGAGCTACCAGCGAAGCAGCGAACTCGATTTGGTATGGTTTGGATTGATACGAAAGTGCTGCCAAAATTGGATGTGCGAAAAAAGGTCAAAGAATGGGTCCTGGGATCCCGGGATTTAGTTTTCCTTGGTTCTGATTGGTGAGATTATATACGCTACTCCACTTTCACGGATGTACTACGGAGTCCGATATACTATG